TAAAAATAATCCTATTTATGTTTTAAAAATTAAGACCTACGAAAGACTGATTTAAGAGATTTTAATACCAATTAAGGCCGTAGTTTTATTCTGAAGAATTCAATGCCTTTTAAGACTTTTTAAGGACCCGCGGGAACCCTGCTATCCACACCTTTATTTTATTCCACAGAATTAGTATCAGTGCATAGTTAGCGCCTCCTCCCAGATTTCCAGGGTTTATCTTTCATAAGTGAAGCTAAGCGTAAATTCAACCTGGAAGACTTTCATTAGCTTCACATGTGATGTCCCTCATTAAGCTCCAGCCAATCAACGTGGCGGCCGCACCTTCTCTAAAGCCAATCATATAATAAGATCCCCTTCAATCATCTCCTGGCCCAGCTTCTCTCTCCCGCACGCAAGAGAACTTTCACCTACCTCCACCCTCATTCTCAGTCCCTCTCACCCTGTGAATTATTCCACCCACCAGTAGCCCCGGGTGGAAGCCTACTCTAGTCCTTTTCTAAGTTACTCATCCAAGAGATTGCTGATTCACAGCATTGAAGTCTTCTGCCGGGGCCGGAGTGCCTTCAACTTATTTTGTTTATTTTATTATTTGCTTCTGTCTCCTTGAACCCCAGTCACCCTCAGCAGATGGCCGCTCACAATGAGCCTGGTTCTGCTGGAGGTTTCTTCCTGTTAAAAGGGAGTTTTTCCTCTCCACTGTCGCTACATGCATGCTCAGTATGAAAGATTGCAGAGTCAACAAGTCCTTACAATCAGCGTGTTTACCTTAGATAGATATATTGAAGAAAATGACTGTGTAATTCAATACTTTCAATACTTACTGTCAGTTTCTCCAAGTTGAAATTGATGACATCGGCTTCTAAGTCTGACTTTTCACCATGAAAAACATAAAATCATTTGTGATTTCCCAAACGAGCACTGCTGAGGATTTATTGCATCATTTCATTGCACTGTTTATCAAAATTAAATACTTTAAACGATAAAATGCATCATGAGTAAAAATAAATTGCTTCAAGGATTAAAGGAGTGGGGGAAATGCAGCGACTCTAAAATACTGACTATAAATATCCAAAAGCTTAATTACTGATGTGTTTATCTGCTTCCCTTCCAGGTCTACCAGCCACTCATGATGTCCTCCGATGTTTGCCAAATGGAGACCCAAATATCCTACAATGTCAGTGATCAGCAGGTCTCCAGCGGCTACTCCGACATTCTGGAGGAAACCCTAAAGATGCTGCTGAGCATGTGCGACGATGAGCCAGCCAGACTGCAGGAGCTCAACAATCGCTTTGCAAGCTACATCCAGAGGATCCACCAGCTGGTTAAAGACAACCAGAACCTGGTGGAGGTGGTGCACCTGCGAGTCCATGAGACCAAGCGCATCTCTTCCCTGTATGAGGAGCAGCTCAAGAAGAAGAGCGAGGAGATTGGGACACTGGCGAGTCAGAAAAAAGAGATGGATGCGAAGTTAAAGGAGCTGACCTTCAGGTGGGAGAGCTGGAAATTAACACATTTTTCATGATAAAGATACAAGTTTTGATGTATTTTATGGGAGTCTCAGCTAAAAGACCAACATTAGTGAGCAAATAGGTCTTATGGTTTGTTAAATAATAATATGGCTGGATGGAGATCAGGGTTCAATCTTTCACACCTCCCGCTGGTCCAGCTGATGATGATAAAATGATGACAGAGCAGCAGTTTGGTATCGTTTGTAGCAAAGAACAAGCTGAGCTATGAAGGAGAAAAGCTTGTTTAGATCATGATCAGGACTTAAAGAGAAAAATAAACTGATGTCCTCTTTCTGTCTGTGATCCAGACTGGAGACGGAGAACAAACTGAGAATGGATGCTGAGCAGAGAATTGCTATTCTGATTAAGGTAAGAGCTGGAACCATCTCTTCAGCCTACATGTTTGCAACATGTTTTGTTTAAAAAATGTTATATTTAACTGTAAATGCTTTTATAAACTGTTACAGGAAGGCAACTCTCCCAATCTGGAAACCTATCTCCTGAAAATTAGGTCACTGGAGGAGGACATTTCCTTAATGAAGAAGGTCTATGAAGAGGTGCTTGTTCTTTTTATCAGCTCCTCCTCCTCAGGCTGATGTTCTTCACATCTGGTTCTCCTGTTAATCATCAGAATAGCAAGACTAAGATGTTAATCAACCATCTCTTAATTCATTCTGGTCCTTTTAATCAAATCCAAACTGAAGTTTCCAAAGCAGAGCAAAAACCTGTCAGGATGTTTTTGTCCAGCGCTGAAAATGGGATTA